GGCATAAAATATATTGCCAGTATGACGAGGAGAAGAGACACGTTCTATTTTTAAACTGCATACTATTAAATTAGGGAAGAAGAACGTAAAATGCATGCAAGAATTTATGCGGATAAAAAGAAAAACAAATTAATCAAAATAAGGTATATCATACCTTAATGTGGAATCCACCGTCAACTCTCGTTCAGCCGAGAAAATGTTGCATACAATAATACAAAATATTATTAAAAGAACTCTAAAACTTTTTATACAATATTTACGTGGATCAACATACATGTAACAATGTAACACCCTCCCCCATCTCCAACCGAAAATAAAGTAAACAAACAAACAGGAAACAAACAAACGAACAAAGCAAATATATTTTCGACAAAATATTAAATTGGTGTTTTAACTATGCTTACGCTGCGTTGATAAGACATAATCTAAATACCCATCCGCATCTCAGTCATATATAGTGTTGTCCAAGAAACACAGCAGACACTTTTCTTGTGATATTGTCAAATATAAGCTCTTAGTAAAGAAATACTGGACTGATCAGACATACTCTGATATCAGATACAACATATTCTAAGAAGTATAATAAAAACTTTGCTTGAAAAACAACATGAAAATAAGCTAAAACTATTTATACTAATTTCACGATGGGAATGATCAGCGGGTCTTTTAACCCAAAGTTGTGGTCAGTTTATTTGAGTAAAGTTCTTTTCATCCTGTCCAATTCATTGATGGGGCAACTGAGAGAGAGAGAGAGAGAGAGAGAGAGAGAGAGAGAGAGAGAGAGAGAGAGAGAGAGAGAGAGAGAGAGAGAGAGAGAGAGAGAGAGAGAGAGAGAGAGAGAGAGAGAGAGCATTCTGGCTTCCTTTTTACGGGCGGTGTCATCCCAGCAATGTGGGAGTTACATCGTTAGTGTGTGGGTACTGAGTTCGAGATATAACAGCAAAGTCAGAACCTGAAGTCGGCAATGTAGCGATTATTTTTGAAACTAAGGATCATTCAAATCAAAGTATACAAGAGTATATAATAAAAGTGTTACATTTCTTTAAATCTAACCAACTTCACACAATTCTGTAATTTCTATATTTTGGAATGTAATGTCAAATAAGTTAACAATAATCCAAAATATGATTAAGAATCAAATGTTCCAAACGAGTACCAAATATGGAAGTCGGTGCTCAAGCGGCTAAACTTGTTGCATTAGCGCGTTTTGTCTGATGGTAATATTAATTATATAACATGTGCTTTGAAAGATCACATATCGACATCTTTGTGTAAATTAAACAACTGAGTATTCGGGTAACCTTTGTGCTGTAAACAGCTAGAAGATTTCCGCTGAATATTAACCGCAGAGTCGGCAATTATGCGGCGCAGCATGTCTATTTAGCCTTCATATTTAACCAGTACACGTCTCATTCACTCCAGGTTTTCTATTTTGTTTGCAAAAGACGAAGTTGTTCATCAGGTAAAAGAAATATATTTCAAACTCAGTTTTGGGTTCTCTCTGAGATCTGTGTTCCTCTGTATGTACAGTGCCACCAAGGTATTCTGGTTAAACCCTAATATCCGGTGAACTTTGTGACACAGATTCCAAGCATTGGATACAGCTGTTGTGGACAACATATTGCCCTTTAACGGCAGACTGGGACCAGCTTTGTTCAGAGGACACGTTAGTGAACTTTCTCAGATCAAACTACCAGCCATTAAACCAGTTCTCATTGATCCAGAAGCCAAAGCATAGTCGCTTTAATCATTAGGAAGTTCTTTGTGTTATTCTAGATCCGTGTCGATATGGCATCCCTATGCACCAACCGAACACCGCTTTTTATCTCTTTGCATCATGGCTAAGTCATTTAAGTTCTTTTGGTAAATATATGCTATCCAGCTGTCTGATTTTCTACTGTCGTAATTAGCACCCGAGGTAAATTACGTCTGGTTATTCCCCTTGCTAGTCTCGATAACCTGGTGTTTGTCGGTGTCTGTCAGCAGTTCTAGCTTAAAGCCGATCTTTTCACGATAGGGTCCCAATTCATGTTAGGCGAGCTATAATAGGTCCAAGCCGTAGGGCTTCAGCGAGGTGTTGTTCCTGAATTCTTCACAGATGTCAGCCAGTAGTACCATACCATACGTTGTTCGTTGTGCATAAGGTGCAGTTGCCACAGTGACAACGCTATGTACGTTACCAAATTGTTGGAAATCGATTGATTTTTATTTCAGTTTATACATTTACATTAGTCTTTCACAACAGCGTTAGCTACTAACAGCCGTTCTACAAATGATGACATTGTTTGGCGCCTTGGTGTTGGTACTGGCCGACGACTCTTCATATGCCCTAAAAGTTGGTTCTTTGTAGACCCTGAAGGCGGGATTTCTGGACGTCTAGTGTTCGTCATTATTGGGATCAGAACTTTGTGGTTATTATGCCCTAATTTGGGATTTTGGCTGTGCAGTCAATATCATTTTGTGCGCAGGATCTAGGCGCCTGCTGCTAGGTACCGGATGTACAAGCAAAGGCTGACAGCTTTTGCTCCAGCCTTCGTCATTGATGTCGAATGGACTGCACATCCTGGGTTTGTTGTGCAGATAAGGCCCTATGTTCTATCCTGGATTTCGCGTTGAACCTGGAATTGGATTTATCATCATGGGCCAGCTGTGTAGCCAAAGATCCTGCTGACGAATCAGAATATATGTCATAGGCCTTCATCTAAATATCAACTACTCTTCAATACCCATTTAGGTTTTTGTGCTTGCATTTAACAATAACATAACAAAATGATCTTAAGTATCTCAGTTAGTGTATACACTTCACCAAATATGTATCCAAATTAGTTGTAAATTTCTGTTCAAAATTGAGGCATTCTATAGAGGTCATACATTGCTTTTACGTGCTTCTTACAGTTCAAAAAGAAGAAAGTTAAATCGCTTCCTTGTCTTTTTTTTCTGTCTGCCTCATATGTTTTGTTGCAGATGCTCCTTCAAATCTGGGTCAAAGCTAGTGTGCAGCGAGTACTCCAAAACCTGCATCTCCAATATGGTAATACCATGCATTAATATGGTAATACCATGCATTAATATGGTAATACCATGCGTTTCTTCCTATTATGCGCTGCATGGAGCATACTGTACATTGTCGGAGATTTTTAGCCAAAAGTCACTGTTGTTCTCAGCGTTAGCCATTCGCATTTATGGTTATCTTGATGGATGGATTAATAGTTATATTCCTAATACAAGTATGCTTATAATCAAAGTTCATACCATTTGTATGCAATCTTCCCGCTAACATTCACCTTTTCAGCCTGTACCAAACTCGGGTATATCGACTAACTGACTCTACGTGTACAATAGGAACGCAGCGGATATCTTGGATCATACCTGGCGGCTGCCAATACGCATCACCGTCGGTCGGTCGCACTTAGCTGTCGTAGTTCAGCTTGCAGATGTGGGTTAAGCCAGCCCAAACTTCACTCCGTCGAGTCGATACCCATTTGTAACTTAGTGCCATGCCCACCTGGTCTGATAAAAAACACAGCAAAATTGAGTTCCTGGGAGTTTCTGACTGTCTACAACATCCAGGTCGTATTTGCTGGTTCATAGCACCTCTTTTTAAATCAAACGCACCGAGCTATTTTTTTTTTCATTAACAACTTCTCTGTCGAAACTTCGGTCAGTGCAGTCGGAGAAATAGTCGAAATGGTCCAAAACAGATCGCAGTTTCTCTGTTGCTAAGAAATATATGGCGAATAAAATGTTTCTGTAAAATGAGTCTTCTGTAAATTACCGCGCCGGCATCATCCGAGAATTTTTTGTCTCGCAGAAATATTAGAGGTAGTCCGAATTGCAATACATATATCGTACCGACAGTGTTTATTATCAGTTATTTGTGCTTGGTTGACATCTTGCACAATAGATATATTTAAACAGCATAATTGATTAACACATCGACACAAATTGATCTGGATACTATGACAACTAAGGTTGTCGTCCTTACAAAATGCACAATAATTCAAAACTCAACGCGTACCTGTATTTAGCTGTCTTTAAGGATAAAAACAAAGGCAAAAAATGTTTTCTGCATACGCAGAAGCATGTCAGTGATTCATACATGAGACAGTTAGTAAGATCTGTCTTTACCTTACGTATTAAAATGTTAGAACTTTTAATTCAGTCGCCATTTGGATATATTGACAAGCATATAGAACACTGGGTGTAGGGGTCAAAATATATTCTAAGCCATTTTATTCACTGGCCAGATGTTTGGAATCGAAACTGCACCCTACTGATCACGAATCAAACACCTTAACCACTATGCTGCCACTATTCCATCTGAATAATTGAAACTAACCAAAGCAACATACAAATCGGTATTTATTGGATTATTAATGAATTGTTTCTTTTTTTCAGTTTCGAAAAAGAAGTTCAGAGCAGGTATGTCTTTTCTTGTTTACAAGACAGTTAACTTCATTATTCATAAAGGTTTTTTTTTCATCAAATCAAACTTTGTTAAAAACGACTTATGCCAGCTTCTCAAAAACGTCAGTTCTTATTAGAATGTAATCTGGAGTTACTGATTATACAAAGGTACATTTTGACGTTCCTGTTTAAAATCTATGTACGTAAATATGTGTAATGTCTTCAATGTTTTGAATGTATTAGCACCAATTATACATAATTTGCCTGCACGCCTATCAGTACGGTTGCTTTACGATGTCAGTATTCATCCATTGTGGCTATATAATACATATGAACAATGATTTGTGCGTATGATTTGGATTTTTAATGAAGCTTTAACAATGTTTCACTCGTGTCGCTATGATGCCTGCAGTGTGACAGTTTTGTAGTGATATCTAGCACTTGGGCATATTGCCGCAGACATGTAGTATGATGTCCCACCCAGTCACATTATTTTGACACCAGGCCGAACAGTCCTAACACTAACCTTTTGATGCCGATCGCCTAGCGATGAAGCTGATTGTACCATTTTTCTTAAAACTAAATCTTTGGAATGACTTGGCCGGGGTTCGAACCCGCGACGTCACGCATCCGAGGCGGACGCTCTAACCATTTGGCCACTGGAGCGGTTATATGAGCTGAGTTTAAATCATAACTCTCCATTTTAGACTGCCACATGCCACTATTATTGCTCGTAATAATAATTAAATACACAATTTGATTGGTACACATTGCGATAATAAGAATAATTGTAGTTTTTTGTGATATTTCTCCATTTAAAATTTATTCCATAAATAGATACCCACTGATTCAAAATACGAATGCAAAACAACACTAATCTAGCGGGTAAAACATCACCTTGTGCTTTTTGATGATAATGCTCTGTTAAGTCATTTATTGTCTAGTAAAGTAATGCAGTTGAAAAGAGCAACTGATTTTATTTCAGATGACTTAGGTACTGATAGTAGTTTGTATACTTTCTGTGAAGATGTAAAAGTGTACGAAATTGTTATCAGATCTTTTTGAAAAGATAACAGAAGATGGTCATGTGATAGTAATCCTTAACAAACTCTCCCTGTGACTTTTCTATCAAATTGCAATAAAAAAAGTTATCGCCACAATGCATGTGCAAAAAGGTATTTGAACAGCGTTTAGGTGAAAAGAAAAGAAAACGAATAAACCAATAAGCCATTTTAATTAATTATTAAACATACGAGCTACCATGATTTTTTGATTTCATATAAAATTTATGAAACGAATAAATGCTTTTCATCTTTAGTGTTTTAAATTTGGTTTAGTTACAAATGTAACATTTTATTTTGTATCACTGCGTGAATTAGTGGATTCACAGTGAGAAATAAATTTGATGATTCACTGCAGTGGATTATCAAATTTATTTGTTCATTCCAGCTACAGGGACTGCTTCACTGCCGATGAAATGCATTCCTTGCAGTGACACCCACAGCGACTAAAATACACTTGACATATTGACTAGATGTTGTATAACAGTTGTAAAATTTATTTTATCACATAGTCAGTACACTATACCTATGCTATGTGCAGCTTAATACTTTGATATTATAGTATGTGAACATATCACTTTATGTGATTCTGATTGGGAAAACTTTTTAATATTTAATATTTTGTTTTCAAAAATCATTTTGACGGCCATTTTTCAACTCGACTCGCGAAATTGAGGAAAGATTATCTCGGCTTTCTGAATATGGACAATTTACCCCCACCGGGGTTAGTTACGTCATCTATAACACTATCATAATACGAAAAATAACGTAAAGCTCCAATAACACCAACAAGAAGTGAAACTAAGGGTATTGTTCATTTGATAGCGGATGTATGGGGTGGATCTGGAGGGGGTGACTTGTCTGAAATACAGAATCTACCTTATATACAAGCGTGGTTTAAATGTTAACTTAAAGAAGTAAATAAACTCACCTATGTTCACAGAAGAATGTGGACATAAACTGGCATCGCAACTGACAGAACTTTATCTAACCATAGCATCTTTACGCAGTAAATATGTGATGCAAATCTGTCTCGAAAAGAAATTTGTTTACGTCCTCTGTACAGTCTACTGTTCCAAATTAAGTACTGAAAATATCCGGTCACAGATACATTACTGCAAATATGTGAATTTCAGCATCCAGTAATACTTTTTAACATGAAATTGCAACAACGTAATGTTTAGTTGTGAAAGTGGCATTTTAGGGTAAACATGTACTCTAGGCATACTGTGTACCATAAATCAAACATCACAAACATTAAACATTCTGTTTTGAAAAATGATTTTTGTCTTTATAAAATGTTCTGTTTATTCGTTTGGACGCTTGTTCTTTGGTTATTGTTTGTAAATATGCAATATACTTTTACTAGTTCAACTTTGTGACTATATTTTATGCACAACAGATCAAAGGTACACCGTTTGGAGAAATGAACGAAATTATTCATTTTTTTTATCTAAATAGAAATAGAAACTATGTGATAAAAAGAATCTCAAATGGGTAATGATTTAATATTAAATTCAAGAAATTTAATTTCTTATTAATAAACATTTTAATAAACGTTGCTATTCACTAGTAGGTTATTATTATGGAAACATCAATTAATTTTATATCCGTGTGAAATGTTCTCATTTTGGGTGTGATTGGGAGGCTTTTTTGGGGTCCACAAAACAGCAGAATATAAATAATAATTAGGTGATTTTGGCGCAAGACTTGTCTACTTTAGAACATCATGCTTGTCCGAGTGAATAATGGATATATTTTGTCTAAAAGGTGATTAACTATGGCAGAATTACTCTTTCAATGAAATATACTGCTTTGCACCCGTAAAAGATACTACAATTTCAGCTATTTGCTGAAATATATCCGTTATTCACTCGAAAGAAGCATATATTCTCTGTATACTTATTTCATACTTGACAAACAATATTGAATTTAATTTTCGAAGAAGCCATACAATCGTTTTAGTTACATGAATTGAAACAACTGCTCTCCAGGTGGCGCTGTCCTTTCTTTCGAAACGCCACTACCACCACAAAATGAGATCTGCAACTTTTTCTTCTTTAGAAATGTCTTTTATCTGTTCTTGTTGTTATTTAAAGCATTTACAAAATGTAGCGGATTTTTTAAAATAAAACTTTAAATAGCTTGTCCTGCAAAGCGTTAATTTATCATCTTTTGTCGTACAGTAAAATGAAAAGAAAGCTTTGAGATAAAACATCGGTGCGAAGTCTTTAAAGTTCTGCTCAGCCCTCATAGACAAAGTAGAAGGTGTGAAATACTCATGACTAGAACTAATAGTGTCTATAAACTAATAAGAATACAACAACAAACAGCATTATTCTGAGACGGTCATTGAAGAAAGAGGGCATACTTCGATTTCTGTTAAAACCATATAAATTACTTTATATGTTCCAATTGAGTGATCTTTGTCATATGTGTTGGAAACACTTACCCTTCACTCACCCGTAGAGAAATCATCTGATTGACCATAACAAATGCAATTTGGAAGCGATGGTATGTTCACTATTAGCACATAAATTTGTCTTTCCTAGACAAACAGAACATTCAAATTTCTATATGTACTTGATTTTCTTTTTAGTTATAAGTTTGTCTTTCGCCTCTTTCGCTGTCTGAGCAGAAATATAGTATCATTTCTGCCGCCTCTAATTTCAGACCCCTGCGGTTTTGCGAAAACGTGCGAACATAAAAGAAGAAGTATATTCCTTGGAAACGGACTATGAGTACCCTAACAGTGATGCAGACTTTTACCCCAACCCTGATCAGCAACCGGGCCCGGTTAGAGTAGGCCTGCAGAAAGCCCCGGATGGCAGCTACCTGTATACAATCCTGAACGAGAGATAGCAGGTATCTATCATCTTCCCAGAATGGGAAGGAGTGGGCTTTTTGCTTTCACACCCTATTTTATTTCCAGAAATATATGCAACGATACTTTAAAAAATGTATTTTAAAAATTCATGAAACGTATTAGCTAGAAGTACAGCGAGCGATCTCTTTCACACACACACACACACACACACATACATACATACATACACACACACACATACACACACACATACATACATACATACATACATACATACATACATACATACATACATACATACATACATACATACATACATACATACATACATACATACATACATACATACATACATACATACATACATACATATATATATATATATATATATATATATATATATATATATATATATATATATATATATATATATATATATATATATATAATGTTTTCTTCTGTTCTTCTATTTGCAGCCGACAATCATGCCATTTAGTGCTGGTCTGAACTGTAACACTTTAGTATTGTAATTTTCTCAAGAAAGGGATAAAAATCTGTGCCACATTTTATTGAAATTCAGAATCCACTTTGTTAATGATTGACTGTATTTATACATAATAGCTAATGAAAACGGTTGATAGAGATGTTACACGTCGAATGATTGACTCAAATGAAGATTACATTTTTCATGGAAAGCAGATTCCTGTTGTTAAGAAACTATGAAACAAATAGGCAAATACAAGAAGAAAAAAATTAAATTTATTTTCACTATTGGTTAATTAACTGACGCATGGCTTTAAATGTAAAAAAGAGTTTAATTGGCTCTGCTTGTTCAATTCAATAAAAATGCATTCTCTCTATCCATTGTCGTAATCCTTTTTTGGTATCTGTAATCGGTAGAATCTTACTTTTTATATAATATCTAACTTTCGTTCCATCTTCATTCTTACAAAGTTATTAAAGTGTATCAAATAATTCTCCAAACGTCAATGACAATACATATTCGTTGCATATAAACCCATGCCTATCTGTTGCATAGATAACCATACCTGTTCATTGCATAGAAACCCATGCCTATTCTTTGCATAGATAACCATACATGTTCATTGCATAGAAACCCATGCCTATTCTTAGCATAGATAACCATACCTTTTTATTGCATAGAAACCCATGCCTATCTGCTGCATAAATAACCATACATGTTCATTGCATAGAAACCCATGCCTATTCTTTGCATAGATAACCATACCTGTTCATTGGATAGAAACCCATGCCTATTCTTAGCATAGATAACCATACCTTTTTATTGCATAGAAACCCATGCCTATCTGCTGCATAAATAACCATACATGTTCATTGCATAGAAACCCAAACCTATTTGTTGCATTGATAACCATACCTGTTCATTGCATAGAAAGAACTGGCCAAAGATTGACCGCCTGATGGTTAATTTATAACTTAAAATTTTTATCACTGATTTACCATATACATTATCAGTGATTACCAACCAAATTTACCATATTGGAAACATTAAACAATACAATTTATGATAAAAACTATAATAAATATATTATCCCCAGAAGTTATCCAGTAAAAGTTTGATAATGATACACAAACTAATCGTGTTTCATGACATAAAAAGGAGCCATATTGATATAAACAATATTAAAAAATAGGTTTCACTGTAAGGTAATATAGACACAAATTGCATCTAATTCAGCCGTATTATGGTGTGTAAAATTACATTAGGCGGCGTGCTGTTCGTATTACTT